CTGAGCAGATTCTGGCCCCGGCGCCGGTCTGAGGTTGGGCCCGGGCGGAGCCGAGCTGCTGTCTGCAGCTCCGCAGGTTCGCTGTCAGCAACCTGCTGCCACCCCGAGCCTGCAGCAGCCTCCCTGCAGCTGTGCATCAAATGGCTACCAGCAGAAAACCGTGTCCAGATAATCCAGTGCTGCTGCAGCAGCGTCCACCGCTCGTGTTTAGATCTGCTGTAGCTGTCAGGGCTGCAGATAATAGCTTAACCTTATCGTGGCTTTGACTTCTCACAACTAAAACTTCACAGTGGGGTCATGTGTTTTTGACAACAAGGCGTTACTGATCCTGGATACGAGATCGTTACGGCGTGTGATACCTGTAAGAGTAGCGCTGCTGGACGATAAATCATGTTATCACGCACAATAAACACACAGCTAAAGACCAAATGAGATGCAGTGAATAAGAGAAATCATTCTATTTACATGCATGTGCGGTGAGCATGCTAACATTAAACCAATCAGATGGAGTCCTGGATATACTGGACACCGTTTGGTCCTTGGTGTCAGTTTGATGGCAACTTTGGCTGTATGCTGGTTGTATTTTAGATTTATTTCATTACTCAGTGGACAAAGCTTATTCAGTGTTTGAGGTGTGTGTAGATTGTGTACCTACTAAAGCAAAAAGACAGGAACTGTAGCGCTAACACAATCCCATATTTGTCTGTTTATCGCAAGTCTTGTCATCGGCACTTTTTTGGCACGTTGCAGATTTTTGTCGTATCATTCAGGTATGTGTCAAACTGAACTGTTGTTTTCACTTTTGTTGTTGTTGTACGCATTAAACAAACAAGACAAATGTTCATCAGTGAGCTTCAGAGGTGCCGGTTGTCAGATTTCCCTTCCCTCCTATGCTAAGCTAAGTTAGCCATTTTGTAGTTTTAGCTTCATACTTAGCGCAGAGACGCATATGAGTCGTATCAATGAGGGATGCCCGGCATAAAAATGTAATATCTGTCAAAATTGGGGGTTTTTTTGCCCAAAAAGAAAAACAAAAAAAAAAAACAAAAAAAAAAAAAAAAAAAAACCGGAACCGGTGAAAACCAAAACCGAAAATGAAAAGTGGAAAAAAACAGCAAAACCGAATATAGGCAAAAAAGCCAATATCGGACATCCTCAGTATCAATGTTCTCATTTCACTCTTGCAAGAAACCAACTAAATGCGCTTTCCCAAAGCCGGTAAACAAGCTAATTTATGTATGCAGTGATTGTTCCTGTACTCTTGAATTCCAGTTTAATTGCATGCAAAACGTCTGCGCGGTTTAAATAAATTCAACTGTTTTTCAACTGGCAGTCGATGGAAGAGCATAAAACCTGCTGGAAAGTACGTCGCTGTTGGTTATTTGGGCCTAATTTGAGCAACAAAGGGGGCCCACGAACATAAAGAGTGCTCCAGTGACCACAGCTCCGCGGGGTGCCTTTAATTTATCGTGTGAGCGTTTTTGGCAGAGGAGACCGTTTTTAGATAGGAGGTGCCGCTGGAGCTTATGTCTGAAATCCTGCTCCCAGATAGATGCCATTTTGACCAGAATAGCTGCGTTCGGTGAGGCTGGCCGCCCCCCCGCCCCCCTCGATACCGGCTGAAGAGATCTGGAACATGACAGAAAATGTAATTCATAAGGAAGGAACAGCAGCCACCTGAGTGTACAGAATTACTGTCCAGGCACCTCGCCGCATAAAAACATGCAAAAACACTCGCATATCCACAGTCTCCCAGAAGCGCAGTTGGACTCCAGGTATCTCGTTTCATCCAGCCTCTGTGCTGGGACTGTTTGAAGCAAAGGAAGCTCTTGTGTTTGATGGAGACTTACCTTCTTCCTCATCTCCCCTCAGCTTCCAGAGAAACTTCTCCTCTTTGATGTGTCTCTCTCCTCCACTTTCTGCCTCCTGTCATCCATCTTTCCTTCATTTCTCTCTCCCCCCTCCTCCTCCCCTCCTTCTACCTTCTTTCCATCTCCCTCCCAAAGAGGCAGAAAAAAGTATTCTGTCCAGATGGAGGTGGTGTAAATGCATAAAAATGTCACTGCATAGCCTGCAGGGCCGAGCAGAAACACTAAAAGGAGACTTTAACAGTGGCAACACCTCCTATTTAAATAGCAGAAGTGTTTCATGGAAGCTGGTGCTGCATTAGTAATAAGGAAAATCAGCATCATGTCGTAGAATAAACAGACGATTTTATATGTTTCAGAGGTGTGCGTGTTTTATCTGTCGGCTGCTGTTCAGTAAATGTTTCTTCTCAGTTAAGCGGCGTTAAATTTATTTTTCTACATGTCTTATAGTTCCAGGAGCCGTTCCAGTTATTGATTTTTATTTCAAAGGTGGCGAGGCTACTGTTTGTCTGGCAGCAGTAAAGTTTCATCAAACTAAGTCCAAGAATTGACGTAGCTGTCAGAGCCAATGTTTGGAAGATACAACATTAATTATTGATCGGCTCAACAATTAGTGAACGGCTTCATCACCGCGATTGATCGTCTGTGGAGCAGCTGCATCACATGGTGGCTGCCCACTGTCCTGTCTCTCCGTCCAATTTTTCCTCTTTTTCAATCTGAATTTCTCACTTCTTTGAAACCTTTTTGTTTATCTGTATTCGTAGCACCTCGCTAAGAGTAATCCATTTCTCACTTGATACGGCAGAAAGCTCTTCTGTGTGAAGGGAAAAAGATGCTTTGGACTTGGAAACACTGGATGACTTACAAGAGGAATCTTCTTTATTTAGGATGTTGTCACAGGGCGCCTCATCATTGATTTCTTTTCTTTTTTTCTTTTTTTTCTCAGAATAGCTAAAAACAGCCTTTATATGCTCTGTGTAAAGAATGAATCTCAGTTGGTTGCCCAGTGAGAACAAAACACATGCTGTGCTGCTAACACAAAAATGGCAAAACACAGGTATGCCACAAAATGCTGCACACACGGTGATTGCACACCAAAGTGATTGCAATTTAGAACCTGAATGACTATTAAAGCTACAGAAGCCTTGAACGTTGCCATTAAAATAAGCCAGAAAACTCCTTGTGGTGTATGTTTATACCATAGACTGAATGTAAAGGTGGAGGTAGAGAGATGTCACCCATTGGTTCACACAGGAAGTCAAGAATCTCGGGGTGTTGTCTTTCACTACCAATACTGGCTTCCTGGACACCAAACCAGTCCACACATGGCCGGACACTTCAGCCACATTGTGCCAACAGCGCAGGCATCGTAATTAAGTAGAAACCTTAAGCTTGACTCGTTAGCTTGACTCTTTAACCACAAACCCCCAAAGTCCAAGACGGGGCATCGAATTAGTCTGTGAGACTTTTAAATCTTATTAACAGTAATTTCCAAAAGTGACCATCAGCGTACTTCTTACCGAGCCTGGATTTAGCGGTTGACATCTGAGTGGCTCGTTCCAAAAAACTGTGAGGGGGTTAATTAAAAAAGTTAAGAGACCAAAACAGTACCTGATTATAATTTGGTGGACATCCCCATTTGAAGTAGCAGTGCGACGTTCCCTGGATGTCCCGTTGAGGTAAACGTGTCAAGAACCACCTGCAATCTCTTGATCTGGTTCAGCACAGCAACCCTTCATCTGGGAGCCAATGGGGCGAGTCGGGCAAACGGGGATCGATCACCGGGTGCAAATTAGGGTGTTTGTGCTGAAGGTTTTGTTCCGTCAGACACCTTAAGACGAACTGTGTCTGCCTTGATTGTCCAACCCTGTGGAAAGAAAACCATCAAGCGACTCCTGACTCAACGCACCTTTGTCTAACTTTGCTCTCTGACTGTGAGAGCTGCTGTTTCTTCTCTTGGTGGAAGCTGTGATGATCCGACTGACGTAGAACGTGAGGTTTTCTCCGTCCAGGCGACTATTTGTTTAGTATTTCTAGAAAGAAGCTGATTGTTTTTAAAAGCCGGTCAGTTGGAGCCTGTGATATTTTTTGGGAGCATCTAGTGGCGATCAGTAGCGTCGCATGTTGAGGTGCTTCCAGTTGTGCCACTTGATTTATATTTCAGATGGCAACTGTGACTGAACGAGTGAAACGTTGAGTGAATCTGTGATTAAGTCAACAGGTAATAAAAACCAGTTCTGGCTGTGGATGAAGTAATAGCTGGTCAGCAAACATCCATTTAACCCAACTGAGTCTCTACCAGCTGCAGGGCTGATGTTTAGCAGCAAAGTGCGACCTCAGGAAAGTCTTGCCGAAGAGAAAACACGTAGGATAATTGCTCCGTTGTGCCATCCCTCTGTGGAAGCTCCTAATGCTACCTGGGGACGTTTGGCGATTGGTCAACACTTGAATTTTTCAGAACAAACAAGTCAGTGATTCATTTTTTTTCTCTCTCCGGCTCTTCTGCCGTGTTTGTTGTCAACTCTGACATCCCGGGGTCACTTTAATCCTGCCCGGATCGGCATGTTGAGTTTTGTACAATTTTCAACTTGCACACCTAGCGTCTGTATTACAAGGGCCATAAAAACCAGTGGCGGGGCAGATGGATTAGATTAGATGATTGACGATCCCTGTGGGGAAATTAGATTGCTGCAGCAGCAATAGTAATAGGATTCAGCAGGGGAAGAAGACAAACAGGATATAGGCACACAAACAGAATAGGAAATAAGCAGCGGAGGGACGAATATGAGCATTTAAGAACGGTTTGTTGCCAAGAAAGAAAATCACAGCGTATCCTGAGAGCATTTGCAGAATTTTGCCAGATCTGTGGGTGATGGTGTGTGTTACATTTATGCGCCTGAGTCCCAGGATTACTGCGGTCCAGAAAAGATGAGTAAGATTACCGAACTGCATGAGCAGCTTCAAATGTCCTATCTACTGCTGCTGCTATTGCTGTCCAGAGAGTTTCTGAATCCATCTCCTTGCAACTGCCCTCCCATGCTCCACAAGTGAATCAGCGCTTATCGTCCGCGGTTATGTAACGTCTGCAAATCCTCCGTTCCCCTCACAGCTCCGTTTATCCCATTTTCACAGGTACCTCAGCCGAGAGGAGGTGGCCCAGGCTTCCCTGAGCACGGCCCAGCGGGAGGGAGGCAGCGTCCGGCTGGTCACAAAGGAAAACTTCTTCAAAAAGAGGAGGTCCGCCTCTTCTACAGCACCGCCAGCTGCAGAGAGGTTGGTTAAAGGGACAAATGTGTGGGTGGATGTTGGGGGCAGCAGAGGTCGAGCTGTCCTCAGGACTTTACAGCCTTAAATAGAATCCTATAGACTCGACGCTTTCTTTACACGACCAGCAAATCTCACAATTCAGATTCAGCTCTACCTGTTAGCTATACATTCACCACGATACGGCGCCTTCACAGTTCACAGATCCCGTCTTGTTTGTAAAGACCAGGTTTCAAGGTTTGTACACGGTTTTGTCTCGTCGCGCCGTTTCCTCTTTGGGTTTTTCAGAGTATTTTCTTTCCCTCAGCTGTCTCCATGGAGATCTGTATGTGCCTTGTGGGAGAGGCACAAAGGCCCGCTGAGTGTGTTAGTACAGTAAATATAGACCATAATACAATCTACTGGGTGAGATGCGACGGCCAGCTCACCCCGGGAGGCATCGCTATGGAAACCTGCAGCCAGTACACACTCCCTCACACACACACACACACACACACACACATACACAGCAGCTGGTAATACATACAAAATGTCCGTGCATACCTTAAAGGTGTTTTTGTACAACATGCAGACTTGTGCTTGCTTTAGGAATAACAAAGCATCTCTGAAATATAAAGAAATGTTTGGGAGAAGCTGAAACTGTGTAGATTAACACAGTAATAGCTCGAACCGTGACAAAATAAAACATGAGCATGAAAGGATTACTCAGACAGACCATAGTTTTCTATGAATGTTAGATGAAAATTTAACATTAAATAAAAATAAGTGCCTAATCTCTCTCTCTCAAAGTTATTATGTCGTCTTGTGAGTAACACCCGAACCAGGAAACATCCAACCAGTCGTAATAACAGCTGTGGGGAAAACCACTTTTTAGACCTTATTTTGGGCTGAAGTCCCAAAACTTTGTTCATGTTGTTTATCACATTTGACTTGTGATTCTCTACATACAGTGTTTTTGTTCGTTTAGACATGAGCCTGAACTAACCGGCTGGTGGTGATTCCAAGATGGCCACCGTTATGCATCTGCACCAGTTTCAGGACCACAGTTGTAGGACCCTGATTTGGTTACACCACAGTGACCTGATGAAACAAACTATACTTTATATTTTGTGCTCCACTCTTTGTACACTTAGACACTTTGTGTTCTTATTTGATTTCTATTTAAATACTAATCTTTGTTAATTGTGTTCTGGCAAAACAGTTTCCTTTGGGATGACTAAAGTTGATCTTATCGTATTATATGGTATTGTGTCTTGTCTTGTCTTGTCTTGTCTTATGGCGTGTCTTGTCTTGTCTTCTTGTTGTGTCTTGTCTTGTTTTGTCGTGTCTTGTCTTGTCGTGTCTTGTCTTCTCATGTCTTTTTGTGTCTTGTCTTGTCGTGTCTTGTTTTGTCGTGTCTTGTCTTGTCTTGTCTTCTCATGTCTTCTTGTGTCTTGTCTTATCATGTCTTGTCTTGTTTTGTCGTGTCTTCTCGTGTCTTATCTTATCGTATCATATGGTATCATGTCTTGTCTTGTTGTGTCATGTTTTGTCTTGTCTTGTCTTAGCTTAGCTTATCTTTAGGCTCATTTCTGAACACATCTAACCAACAATTCTTGCCGACTCTCATGTTTTCACTATCAAGTCACGTTGAGGAGGTGTTAGCTTAGCTTAGCATGATGACTGAATTTTAAATCCATGGTTAAATATTCATCCTGGATGCACCTCTAAAGCTGAATATTGAACACATTTTATTGCATACAGACAGAAACAATCCAACCAAAATCTAAAATATGCAGTTGATGTGACATGTCGGCAGCTGGTGGTGTTCAGGGCTGTTTATCGCTCACAGTATGATCCATACTGGTGCTGATGCTGGGATTAAGGTTTCCAGGGTACAATATCTTATTTTTAGCGATGTAATTTAGCCTTTTTCTCAAACCAGTTTCTATCACGAGGAAGAGATAAAGAAAGTTCCTAGATTTTGTCTGAATACAAGCAGCTGTCTCAGACTTTTTCTTTTGAAACAGGCAGGAGTGTGATGAAAATCAGGAACCGAACAGATTTCAGGCAGGAACAAAAAGCGTTGAGACGTCTTACCTATGTTTTAGTGGTGGGGGGGAAACAGCAGGCTGCCATGTAGCATAAATCACTGGTGTTTCCTATCATGTTACTGATATTAAAAACACTCCCGCCCACCTTATCAGCCAAAGGAAGCAACAAATTAAAATCGATAAAGACAAAATCTGCGTTGGGATGAACAGTGAGCAGGCACTCCGTCGATTGACAGCTGGACTTAGCGGCGTCAGATCTCTTTCCTCTCTCGCGCCTTTGGTTTCTTTTGGTATAAAGCATCAGAGATGAGCCGTGGTGGTAAACATTAGCAGGCTGCGTGCCGTTTGCTGAAGGCATGTTGCGTGATTTCTGGGGTTTGAAGTCTGATTTTTCAGAGAGTTACCTCATGCTGCGATGTGGAGCTGCCAACATGCTCATTTGCTCTGCACATGCATGAATTTAAATGACTTTGAAGCTAAATGTAAAGTGTATATGCATTATCCGCTGTCATTTTTAATCACATTATTCACAAAACCGGATTCTTGAATGTGTTTTTGATTTGATTGCATTTTTACGGTGATTGCATTTAACATTTACAGTCGCCGGAAATTAATGTATTTCTGGGTTAAGTTTCGAAAGTTGCATGTTTTTTTTTTTTTTCCACCGTTCTCGGTTTTGGGCACGCCAGTAAAAAGTCTATTTCTGTCTCTCTTTCATGCACTAGACTTTGCTGGCACAGCATTTGTCTCTGGGTACTTCCAATTTTTGGTATCTTCTCAACTTTGAAGCAGCAAGGTTCCTTTTTGAGAAGGTTTTCTTCTCCATTTCAATGATTACATTTCCCTCTGTAGTGCTCTGTCTCTCTGGCTCTTTGTTCCTCTCTCTGTCTCTGTGAATTGTAAACCATGGGGAAAGAGAATTTAGTCCATCTGTCCCCTCCACCGTGGCTCTAGCACCCTGCTGGGACAACATGGCAAATGCCCAGACTCACCCTCCGCTGCCAAAAAGGACAAGCATGCACACACACACACACACACACACACACACACACACACACACACACACACACACACACACATACTCGGAGTGTTGCGCAGATACATCACCATTATGTATGTAAACGCTGCGTTTCACACACAGCGGCCATATGTCTCTTAACCGTGCATCTGCAGATTTATTTTTATTGGATGAATATTTATATTGAGTTGCGTTCTGCCGTTCTGCTGATGCTGGAAGAACGGAGCTTTACTTCCTTTTATTTAAACGGCGCTTAGAGATTGATGTTATTCGCGCGGGTCAAGGTAACTTCTCTTTGAGTTTAGCGCACAAAGGAACTGAAAAGCTGCAGCCGCCGTGCGGCATGAATGAAAAAAAAAAAAAACGCATGAAAAATAGATTGCCTACATGGCTAAACTTCCAGCGGCATTAGCAGCATTTCATTTACCTTATCTCCTCACTCTGACAAACACTCTGAATGCTGCATTTTGTCGCTTTGTCCATCTATTTAACCGCTAAGTTTGCATTCATCGTATTTAAAGCAGTCGTAGCGAGCAACTGAAGCAGTAACACGTACTCTTTAAATTCAAAAATGTAGATTTTATGTATTAACGTGATTGATTTTGAGCGGTTGCGTGTAGACGCTGTTTTCTGTCGGCGCAAACTCAACTCCTCCCTCGTGTTCGACTGTCTCGATCAATCTGGGAGGATGTAAATTATCAGCTGCACTAATTCCATCAATGCGGCCTCACCGGTGTTACCGTCCCGCTGCTCAGTTTGTCTTTTTAAAGGGGCACATTTATTGTTGAGCTCCCATAAAGTAGAGGGATGTGCGTGAGACTGTTGATTATTTCCTGGATGAATCAATTAGTCGGTTGGGCTGTAAAATGGTAAAAAAAAAAAAATAAATCGATCAGTGTTTCCCAAAGCCCAGGACCGTCGTCAAAGATACTCATAAAGGAGGAAAGAACATATTCAGACTTAAGGTTAGAAGTTTCATCCCATCCACAAACTACACAGCTTCTCTGTTTAAACTCCCAAACGCTCGAAAGAAAAAGTCTCAAGCCCCGTTCAAGACAACGATGACTGCAGCAGCCCTGCTTCCAGACCACATTTAATGCAGTTTTTAAGTCATTTGAAAAGATTTATACAAAAAAATGAAGAAAAACGCCCTTGATTTTGATTTTAAAAAGGTTAACGAGCTTCACAGAGGATGGAAACACCTTTTCTGATGAGCTGTGTTTGTTTCTTTCATCGTCTCCACCTCCAAACAAAAAGAAAACGTGGCTAAAACCAGCTGAAATAAAAATGAAAACTTTCCAAATTAGAAGCTGTTGAAGTTTGTCTCATGACCAAAGTTTTGTTTTGTTTCTTCCTCTTCTGTTTTTTGTTTTTTTTAGTAGTTTAATCAACTGTTTTGGCGCATTGTTTTTGTTTGTTTGTTTGTTTTTCTTCCTTGTGTGACTAGTTTGCTGGACAGTTAGAGGAAACACAGCTTACAGCGTCATAGATTTGAAAAACAAAAAAAACGTTGCTGCTCTTTAAAAACAGAAGCAGCATTTAAATTGATCAAAGGTGCTCAGTTTGACTCCAACCACACGTGTGAGCGTTGCAGAGTGAATGGCCTGGGAGGTAAACATGGCCGACAGAGAGTCTGGACAGTTTGGTAAATGTGCAGGAAGAAGAAACCAGTTCATGGTACACACACTTCAGTATTTTCAGCACCTGACGGACGCGTTTCTCGAACCGGAAGCAGCCAGATGAGATTGAGCCTGAAGGCCGGTTTCAGCATCAGTTCGATCCGTCAGCCCTCGTTCGGCCTCCTGAACTGGTTCACGTGGTGAGCTGCAGGTAAACCAGAGTCACAGAGTTAACCAGTTGGTGCACTGGTCCCTTTAATATATCCTATAATTTTATAGAAATGTAAGTTACACGTCTATACAACATCCTACATGCAGATCGCTTGTCTTAGAGTTTATCCCGCATCCTTCAGCTTCCACCTGTCGAGTGAGATTTTAGCAACCAACGACAAACTCACCCAACGCTGGTTGTTGTCTCTTTGGTCTGAAGTGACCGCGATAAGCCACCTCTTTGCTCTTCAGTAAATGCCATCGATTTCTTCCTCTGTCTCTCTGTGCAGGCCGGACGAGCGTTCCCCTACGACGGCGGACGAGCAGCCGTCGTCGGGCTTCCTGCAGGCTGTGGACAGTCGGGGCGTCCCTCTGTGCCTGACCTGCCAGCAGGCCTGCCCGACCACCGGCGGGGCGTGGGATACTCGATTCTGCAGCCACAGGTACGGCAGTTAAGGCCACGAGTTGGAACAAGAAAGTTAAAGAAGAAATTCGTAGACGCATATAAAGCCTTGCATTACACTTTTATTAACTTGACCCTCAATTCAAAATGTCTGCACTTTGACACCAGAATAGTTTTCATTCAGTGGGAAAAAAAAAAAAAAACGCTGCTTCTTTAGTCTCTGCGGCGTCTCCGTGTCCTTGATGGAGATCCGGATCGCTCGCAGGACTGCCAGCTATGTTTTGAGTTGCCTCCCGTTCGTCGTGCTCCTTATTCAAGGCAGAAATTTAATTTCCTCAAGTGGTTTTTAAGAGCTACATTCACCTCTTTAAATCCGTCGATCTGGATTGTTTTCGACATCCGCCGCCTCTGCTCCTCACAGCTACAGCAGAAAGACATGATCGCTTTCCTCTGTGTGTGAGAAGCTGTTTGATTCCAGCCCAGATGTTCACATGTGCCCGTCTACCCTCAGGTGCCAGGAGGAGTTCCAGCTACGCTCCAGCCAGACGTACATGCGCTCCCGGGTGCTGGAGGCGGAGCAGGGCGTCTGTCAGCACTGTGGCCTCCACGCCCATGACCTGTTCCTGAAGGTCCGCGACGCTCCGCCCTCCCAGCGCAAAGACATGCTGGAGAGCACTTGGCTGGCCCAGCTGTCACTCAAAGAGGTGGGAGGCCAGAGCAGAGGCGGATTTAAAACATATCTTTTTTCCTTTAGCGATGATGAAGTCTGGGGAAAACAAGTGTGGCTGTTTTATGAAGGTGTAACTTCTGGCTGATGTGCAGAGATCTCTTGTTTTCTCTCCCAAATATTAACAAAGCAGGAGGTAAATTTGTCTGCGTTGATCCACCAGGCTGCTGACAAACAGCCACTAATCATCCAGCTGCAGGACGAACAGGAAAGTTGGTGGCCAGGATGTAGAAAATAGGTGAAACTTCTCAAGGATAGGAGAAGGCTAAAGAGTATTAAAGAAAAGCCACCGCCACTGTTAGTCTTAATAATAAGCAGTGACTCACTCGGTACCTCCTGTTGACTCTCAATAGTTTGCTCTGAATGGCTCATCTTCGTTTGCGTCATCACAGCCAGAACGGCTCACAGCGCGGTCTGAGCAGAAAATGCTTTTTTTCCACTGCTGATTTGATTAAGTCTGAATCAAGTCATTTAATAATTAGTGTCTTGACAGTTCACACACGCTTCAGGTGTTATAGCTCAGCTGTAGGATCGGCAGCACCATCAGGTGGAGCCTCTTGCTGTTTAAGAACCAACCAGATGAAGCAGGCAGCTCCATGTTGGCAAGCAGAGAGCATTGTGGGGTTTAGATAGTAAAGGGGCACCATGACAAAGTCTCCTGGAAGGCTTCATGACATCCAGCCATCATACAGGTTAAATCAAGACGTCGTCAACCAGAATAGTATTCAGACGGGTTTGTGTGTGACGTATTCATGCCTTGAAACAGTGGCGTTAGTCTGGGACGTGCAGAATTTGATGAATTTATACTTTGAATTGATCCTTCTGCACTCATTAACTCTTTGAGGTTTTGGCCGTCTTAGTTTTGTCTTTATACACCACAGAGAAACATGTTTGGTATCTTTTTTTTCCCACCGATATGATCTGACTATTATTATTCCACTTTGATCTACTGCATTAACATTTTAAGCTCAAAAACACACAAAAATATAAAATCCGATTTGAGAAAATAGATTATTTATGACAATAAAAACCACAAACATGCTTAACGAAGCATTTTAAAAGCTGAAAATGTAAACATAGGTTGCAGATATGAACATGAAAAGGTAAATTTGATTTTTGTTTTTATTGATGCCACTCCTGAAAATTGTTTCTGTCCAGAATGATGCAGACAGACACGTCACAGGACTTTCTTCCACTTTTGTTTTGTAAAATGACAAAAAATGACAAAGATGTTGAAAGAAATGTGACGTCTGTGGGGCTTATATGTTTTACACACACGTTCATAGCATCATATCTCTGGTTTTATGTGGTCTACTGATATGAAAAATTAAATATGGAGGGTTTAAAGTCTGGACCTCTGAGTGAAGTTGACGGCATCGCTGTACGTGCGCTAGTTTTTCTGCCGTGATGTCTCGAAAATGTCATGATTATATCACGACAGACCTCTAAGGGTTAAGAAACTTATACAAATTGATGACATTGATCAAATCTGAGTGAGTTTGGACACAACAATGTTCAGTAGATTTACTATGTTCAGGTGCGTTTTCACATATTTCATTCTCATGCTTTCCGCTCTCTGTCTCGCGATGTACCACAGCAGCACCACGCTGCATTTTGAGAGACGGGTCATCATGTTGGCTGCTCCTCATTTGCATAAAATTGAGGTCTAGGCCTCTTTATGCAAATCGGGGACGTTGAGACCGATTCGGTGCCTCTGGAAGAGAGAGAAACTTCTGCTTACCGCTGTTGATCCAATATGAAGACAGATCCAGCAGCTGCATGACTTATTTCTTGTCTCAGATGTTTGTAGAAACAAATTTAGGTGAACTGTTATTGCAATATCAGGAGACGTTTCTGGATCATCCGTCGTGGCACTGCCTGGTCGCACAGCAACAACAAACCGGTGGACACATAACATGAGGCGAGTGTTTCCACATCTGGAAATGACGGAGGTTTCACCACGAGGCGGTGCATGTGCGGCTCTGTGCAGATGTCCACTTACGCTCCAGTGTTTTGCGGTTGTACAGCTGCTACTTACTGGAATATATAGATGCTGCTCTACTGCGCATGTCGGCAACGCGACCTCCTCGCGGACTAGAAAGTAGTTAAAGGTCAAGGTTATGCTTTCCAAGTCCGCTATGGTCCATTTGATGTAAGGTTCATAATCTCCCAAAGTCCGCAAACGTCCACATGCAGCCCAAAGTTTCTGTTAAGTCCTTATAGACAAGTCTCACCACCTGGCAGCCATCTTGGTTTTGCCTCCTGGCCGTTCATTTTGAGCTAACAAGAAGTTCACTGGGGCATTAAAACTGCCTGTATGGAATCACCATTCAAATCTGAAAACAACAGCTCAAAAAGTTGTGTCTTCGCCCCAAAACAAGGCTTCAAAACGGTTTAGGAAACAGATTTCTGTGCAGCTACGACGCTTTAAGGGTAGTAGGGTGCATGTACTGAATATAGAGATGCTGCACTGCTGCCTATGTGTAGATCATTTCCTCCAAGTGGATTCCAAGCAACCAGAAAGTCAAGCTCATTGTGTCTGTAGCAGGTGAATATAACCAGTTTAGCATGTTAGCACGCTAATACTTAGTAGTCAGCACTGAAGCCTAAGTGCATCTGGATTTGTCTCTGCAGGCGGCTCCATGTTTTAGGATTTGAGAATCCAGGTGAAACCAGGTTGCTATTATCTTCCGAGCTCAGTTTGTAGCAACTTTATTGTACTTACAGTCTTGAAAATTGCACAAAATGAACAATAACTGACATCAGTCTCCAGATGTGAGCGAGACAACTGACGAGGAAATCCATTCTTCGTCTTTGTGTTTGTGTTAGTGCAAAAATAAAAATGCCCTGTGCTCTCCGTCCCACCCTCCTACGCATATATGCACACACACCCACCCACGCACACACACACACACACACACACACACACACACACAGGTTGATCTGCACTCCAAGGGGCCAGCTCCCAGTAAATGGATTGCTGGGCCCATTGATTTTTT